GCTTGGCCCTTTCATGGGGAGGTAGTTCATAAGCATGCATTTCTAATGCCCATGTCTGTTTACTTCATAACTGAGCAGGAACTTGCCAGTCATCTGTAATAGTGGGTAGTAAAAGCTAAGGTTGTAAAATGTGGGGATAGTTTAAATCCCCAACCCCCTATATCTGCTCAAAGTCATAATTGGCAGTGACTTTTGGGCTGGTACCAGCCACATAAATTCATCTGTTAAGGAAAGGAAGTTGGTAAACCTGAAATTATGTCCCTGTTGAGATCTGTATATAAAGGCCTACACAAGTATCTTAGGCATTGTTAGGGTCAGTAGAGATCAGCTTTCCTCAGCCAGCCAGAAAAATGCTTTTGCAAACCAGAGTGCTAAACAGGTTACACTGCTGTAGCCCACGGAAAGGTTTGTGCATTTGTTAAATGTTACATATTGTATATAAGCCATTTTAAACAGGGTGCCCAGAGACAATGGGCAGTACCTAGAATGCTAAGTAGTTGCAGTTTGAAAACATCTCCCCACATTTTGACATTACAAAACTCTGGCAAGTAATTGTTAGTTAATTGTTAACAAGTTACGGGTAATCTCTGTCTCCATTGATCTCCTTGTTGCTTTAATTGGAAATGAAATGGGCTTTAGTAATAGAGGCTCCTTCAAAGCCAGTCTATTCACAAATAATCCCTCTAAAACTCCATCTCTTAACTAACCAGCAATGAGCCAGGCTGGAGGCATGGCTTGAGACACTCTCACCATTAAGTAACTAGTAGAAAGCTGAAAATGTCATTGTGACTCTTAAGTGGTAGAGCACTAGCCTCAAGCAGAAGTGCTCAGGGACAGTGCCAGGCCTTAAGTTCATACCCTGTGAATGCCAACTGGGACAAGCTATGCCAGCAATGAATGCTGAGACCCCCAGGATGAGGTCAGTTCTGACAACAGAAAACTGTGGAGAGGAATAAGAGGAAATAGTCTAAATAGAGTCACTTAACACTTGCTCTTTCAAAATTAATCAGAGCCAGGAGATCAAGAGAAATAGTTGCTTGCCCACCTAATGTCCATAACTATCTACCTTCTAACTGTACAGAAAGTTACAGTCTTGCCTTTGTTACCTGCTATTTGTATTTATAGTAGCTTCTGACTGGTTACTCCCAACCAGTCCACTATGCTCTCCTCTACCCAGTTGCCAAAAACCCTAGACACCCCCTTCCTGCCCTCAGTCCTCCTTCCCTATAATGGGGCACAACTGGGTTTATGCTCCAAATGGAACTTTTCTGGCCTATGGCCAGGGTGTGTTCTCCTGTGTCATTCATGTTAGCTGACCTTGACACCTTGTCAGCCTTTTGCCTGACCTTCCAAAAGTTTCTTTGGTAACAGCCCCCACCTAGGTCACCACCTGAGAACTAGTCAAGGCAATTTTGTTACTACAGGCAACTAGAGACTTCACTTACAAAAATTCCTCCCTCCAGGATATAGAGAGTCAAGTACCATGCCATGTCTTCAATCCATGATAGAAAAAGCAATCTCAGGTCTAGGATAGACCCCTTCTAGGAATCAATCCCTCCCTGGTTTATTCCTCTCTTGGCCCTGCCAGCAGCAATTTTTGCCTTTTACTAATTGTTCCTTGCATTTTGGATAACTATTGTTATGGAAAAGATGAGGACTTTTACCAACCAAACTGTCAAGCAAATGCTTCTTGGACTGCAACAAATCAGGGACCCCTGACTACTTTGCCCCTTTAAAGCAGGAAATAGCTCCAGAAGAAACAACCTAAAACCATACCTTCCCCCACATTGGCCTGATACCCTAGTTATTGTTAAACAACAAAGCTGGGGTGATAGCATTATCCCCAGCTCTGGTCCTCAGCTCCACTTAGACCTGAGCTCCTCCCTGACTTAAGAGATCCAGCCATACAGCTGGCCACTCCCTCTCTTCCCCCAGACCTACCTGGGCCTTGAATAGGGGCAGATGCCATGTGCTCCCTCTCCCAGCAGACATGGCCCCTCTAATAAACCTTATAATATTCTTTCTTCTGTGCCTGCCTGCCTCCACGTGGTCCCCTGGGATGGTTGTGAGGGATTGCTACAGTAAGTTGATTACCTACAGTATCTGATGGAAAGCTAACAGAAGTGCCAAATATAAAATAAAAATAAAATGAGGTTAGACATATAGAAAAGACCAAGTTTCTAAGGCCTTGGATATCACATAGGGTGTCATGGTGAGCCTGAGCAAGATAAGAAGGAAATATCAAACGTGTCCTTTGGAAAGCCACTCTGGCATTAGAATGGAAAAGAGATGAGGACAGAAGCAGAAACAGCAAGGAGATGAAACTAAGACAGTCAACAAGGAGCTGTTGCTCTCAGAGGCTCTTAACCTTCCGTGTGTCATGGGCTTGGGAACATTCTACAGTGACATCTCTGGACCTTTGCTCATATAAACATTTTTAAAATCAGGAAATAAGAGCCAAGTGAGTGCTGGTGCTCATGCCTATAATACTACCTACACAGGAGGCTGAGAGGCTAGGGAGAAGGAGAAAAGATCATTAGTTTTCTCATTCACTGACTACCCTGAAATTTAGCCAGTGATCCCCTTGGAGATCAGTGGGTCCCAGGTCAAGAAACTGTAAAATATTCAAATCTAGGAACTCCTATAGATACCTATAAATGTGGAGCAGGGAAGACTATGGTAAGCGTCTAGGACTTACATTGGGACCATATCTACAGAACATGTAATTACCCAAGAGACATTTCAGCAGACAAATATTGAATTTGCTTTGGGATATGATTAGAATTAATTATTAAAATCATTTTTAATGTGTTGGTTATAGAACTTGTGTGGTTGTACAGCCTCATGCCCTTACTTAGTTTTCTGCCTTCTCAATTCTGGTACTCTACTTCTACTTCTAGCTTTTTGCTGGGAGGCTGGAGCTGATTCTCCTGAAGTTTTCTGTCTAGAGCTGGCTTTAAATTGTGATCCTCAGCTTCCTGAGTAGCTAGGATTATGTTCATGAACCAACAACGCCCAGATTTTCTTTTATTTTTTAAAAGACAAGGTCTTATTGCTCAGGCTGGCTTCAAACTCCTAGGGTCAATCTCTCTGCCTCACTTGACAGTACCACCATGCCCCGCTTAGGCACCACACTTTTATCTCATTTTCTCAGGGGACCAAGATAATGACCACAGACCAAGAGACCCAGAAAGGAAGCTGTGTGGTAGGCTGTTTTAGTTTGGGTGGGGGAACTGTCATTTCTCCAAAGAAGCAGAGATCTCTCTGTCTCATCATAAGCAATCTCCTTAAAACAAGCCTCAGGTACAGAACTGCTCTAGAACAAGGAGCTTCTACAAAAGGTTTTCTTGAGGCATAGAATGTTGTTTTTAGATGAGGATTCAGCCAGTCAAAGTGGTAAGCATTTATAGGACCAGCATCTTGGGAGACTAGGGCAGGAGTATTGCTTGATCCCATGAGTTTCAAAGCTGCCTGGGCAATACAATAAGACCCTTTCTTTAAATATAATACATACATACATGCATACATACATACATACATACATGTTTTCTTAAAAGTTTCTTTCTCTAACAATAACTATCATGAGTTATGTATTTGGTAATCGGAACATTTTCTAATTACAGGCTCAAGGCAGGGTTATCTTTGAATTCCTAGCACCAAGAATAATATTGACTCATAACCAATGAATTTTCCAGCAAACATTCATGAAGCCATTGATTACAACAGACTTATAGACAGTTTGACTACTTAGCAGTCCTAAAGATGAAAGAACAGACTGTCTACTTCCTTGGTTGACATATTTTTTAACATGGCAAGAAGAGACTATTAGGAAGTAGATATATGACTCAAGTGGTAGAGCCTTAGCCTTGAGCAAAAAAGAGAGACCCCTGGGATCAGTGCAGGGAAGGAGGTGGCAAGGGAGAGAGGGAAATACTTTGACCATAGATCCTTAAGCATCTCCTCTGTTCATCTTTTAAAAATGCTACTGGGGGGGCTGGGAAGGTGGCTCAGTTGTATAGCGCTTGCCTTGCATGCATGAGGCCCTGAGTTTGATTCCTCAGCACCACATAAGCAGAAAAAGGTGGAAGTGGTGCTCTGGCTCAAGTGGTAGAGTACTAGCCTTGAGCTGAAGAGCTGAGGGACAGTGCTCAGGCCCAGAGTTCAGGCCCCATGACCAACAAAAAATAAAAATAAATGAAAAAATAAATAAAAATGCTACTGGGCACTGGTGGCTCATGACTATAATCCTTGCTACTCAGGAGGCTGAAATTTGAGAAAATCATGGCTCAAAGCCAACCTGGGTAGGAAAGTCTATGAGACTCTTATCTCCAATTAATCAGCAAAAAGCTGGAAGTAGAAGTGTAGCTCAAGTACGAGAGCCTTGAGCAAAAAAAAGCAAGGGACAATGCTCAGGCCCTGAGTTCAAGCCTCATTATTGGCACAAAAGAGAAAAAAATAGATCAATGCCATTTCCTCTACCTCCCCAGAAATGTAAACTGGTAGTCCCTGCCAAAAATTCTTAGCTCCTTATACCCTACCCCCATATCCATGTCCCGTCACTTAGTTACCTGTTATACCTGGGAAGAGTGAGGCTTAGAAAAGGCGTGACTAGAAATCAGAAAAGTATCTCCCAATAGTGGATTCTAGAAAATTGTTTCAAACCAGTTAAATGGGAAGAGAAATAGGACGTGGTCCACTGAAGGCTACCATAAGGTGACCTTAAGAGGGCCCAGGATGTAGAGTAGCTCTTCATGGTTTAATAACCACATCCAGTGGACAGGGGAAGCTGCCACATTTCCCAACAGACTAGAATGAGACGCGGCCCAGTACACAAGCCACTGCTTCCCTATTGAGAAACCACAGAGGATGTCAGCAGTGTGTTAGACAGAATGGAAGCAGACCTGTACTCCCCATGAAGCTCGCAGGGCAGTGTTGACTGAGTCAGGTCACAGTGGGTCATTTCCTAGTTCCGGCATGGCCAGGAAGTGGTCAGGGCTCACCTGTATGTGTATGGCCCCACCTCTTCTAGCCGAGGTTTCTCTCCTTGGAGGATCTCCTCTGGGTTGGTGACATTGAAAAAGTAGAATTGGGCATACACAGGCACAGGGGGCTTCTCCCAGGAGTCAAAGATCTCAGTACCATTCCGCAACACCATATTCTGAAGGGGGGGAAAAAAGGAAACTTACACAATGGTAAGGCTTTGAGCTTGAATTTAACATAGGAGGGACAGTTCCGACTCTGATCTCCTAGCTCACTTATTGAAGTTATTTCATAGACAACCAAGAGACCAGGGCCATATTTGAACACTATGGGCCCTCTGTTCTATTAAGCTGTAGGTCTTTGTGTTAAAGGCAGGATGTTATAGACAGACACTGAGTATGGGTGAGAAATAGGTGTGGCAAAACCAGACCTTCCTGACTTTGGTTTTATTTTTTTAATTTTTAATTGTTATTTATTATAAAGGCTATTTCTTTTTGCCAGTCCTGGGGCTTGAACTCAGGGTCTGGGCACTGACCCTGAGCTTCTTTTGCTCAAGGCTAGCACTCTACCACTTGAGCCACATCACCACTTCCAGCTTTTTCTGTTTATGTGATACTGAGGAATCAAACCCAGGGCTTCGTGCATGCTAGGCCAACACTCTACCACTAAGCCACATTCCCAGCACATTATAAAGGTTATTTAAAGAAGGGCTACAGTTATATAATGCAGGTAAAGAGTACATTTCTTTTTAGATAATGTCACTCCTTCCTATGCTTTCTCCAAGGTTTTCCCTCCCATCCCCACCATTATCAACATAGTGTTCATTTTCAACGTTGTGTCTAGTGAGTATCACTGCTGCATCTGTTCACCCTTTGTCCCTCCAACAAAGAAAAACCCTCATTCTCATTTTTTGGAGTTAATTTCTATAAATATTATTGTGTATGATTAGATGCACATAAGCATTGTACCTTTGTGTTCCTCTCCTAAGAGTACCCTTGTTTGGTCTCACTGTGTGTGAATGCCTCAAGTCCTGTATACTTTGTCATGTCCCCGTGTATTTTAGATCTAGTTCTGCATATGAGAGAAAATATGTACATCGTCTCTTTGAGCTTGGGACTTTGGTATTTTTGAAAGTTCTATTGGTATCACCTGCCATTAGAGTTAAGGCTCTTCTAAGTGGCGCTGTGGCTCAAGTGGTAGAGCGCTAGCCTTGAGCTGAAGAACTGAGGGACAGTGTCCAGGCCCAGAGTTCAAGCCCACAACCAGAACAAGAAAGAAAGAAAGAAAGAAAGAAAGAAAGAGAGAGAGAAAGAAAGAGAGAAAGAGAGAAAGAGAGAGAGAGAGAAAGAGAGAGAAAGAGAGAGAGAGAAAGAAGGAAAGAAAGGAAAGAGAAAGAAAGAAAGAAGAGTTAAGGCTCTTCTGAAAGGTACCGTGCACTCCTGCCTGCCCAGTTTCTGTTCCTTACACTTGAGATGAAGCCACACCCATCTCTATTAACTCCACTACCAAGGGCTCTGTGTGCTTTTTTTGTTGTTGTTCATGGGGCTTCAACTCAGGGCCTGGGTGCTGTCCCTGAGCTCTACCACTCTGAGCCACAGCAACATTCCTGGTTTTCTGGTGCTTAATTAGAGAGTCTCAAGGATGTTCCTGCCCTTGCTGGCTTTGAACTTTGATCCCCAGATCTCAGCTTCTTGTGTACTTAGGACTACAGGTATAAGCAATTGGTGCCCAGCCCTAGCCTAGTTTTTTGGAGTCTTAGTGAAGATGCTAAGTGCAAAACAACAGCCTCTTGTACTTTTGAGTGAACATTGCTAACATCTTGATCACAGACTTCCAGCCTCTAGAACTCAAGACAATACAGTTCTATTGCTGAAGCCACTGTGTCTGTGGTGTTTATTATAGTATTCCCTAGCAAACAACTGCATCACAGTTCCTCTGTGGCAGAATTCTCCACTCCCTACCAACTTCAGGCCTGGCCAAGTAAGATCTATTCAACAGAGTGTGGGCGGGATGGCAAGGTACCAGTTGGAAAGCTGAGGCCTTGGGCAGCATGGGAAGCCACCATTGTCTGTCCTGGAAACTCTCAGCTCTGCCAAGAAAAAAACATGCCTCAGGAAGCTGCCGATCCTTCAGCCCAGGTCTTCAGTGGGGGTGTGTAGAGCACCCTAGGAGTTGATTCAAAACCTGGTGGCCAGCGCAGTGTGAACTGACGTTATATGAAGAAGCTGCTTCTGTGCTAAAATTCTGTCCTGGCTAGACCTTGGCTGACTAGAACATTATGGTGAGAGACATGAAATGTTGTGGATTGACAGCCATAATGTGGGACTATTTTAGGTTCACACTGAAGCCAGCTTACATAGCATGTCAACCAGTGTGACACCGATGCGGGCTGGGCATAAGCAATGAGACTTGGGAATGTTTGTTACTCACCATTGCAACAGAAGTCTGACAAATACACTGCCTAACTTGGGAGTTCTAAGCATCTTCAATTAATTAATGGAGAAAACCTGTGTTTTGTGTATTTTTGTATTTACTATTTCTCTTCCTCCCTCCTTCCCTCCGTACTGGGGTTTGAACATGCTGCCCTCTTCCTCTTCTACTCCTATTCTTTTTTTTTTTTTAATTTTATTTTATTTGTGAAGATACTGTACAGAGGGGTTACAATTACATGGGCAGGATAATGCGTACATTTCTTACCAACCATTGCAGCCTCCTCCTTT